TTCTTTCCAGTTCCAAAAATCAGCTAACAGCGTAACCTCACGACCAATTCGGCACAGACGTCTGTTTGCACCAGGGGCCACGAACCATGTCATGAATTGAGCAGATCTCTCCTCAGCTTGCCATGAAAAAGCTGCAAGATCCCACGTATGGTAAATGTCTTCAATGGCTTGTGCCCATTGCGGAAGCGGCTGGCCGGGCTGAAACACTGCTGCATTAGGATTAAATTGGAAGCCATCCTGTTCATACTCACCTTGACCCTCAATGCCAAGTGCACATGTAGTCAACTGATGGTCCTGAGCAGATTCCAGTGGCGGATCATCTACATGTCCAGCATCAACGGCATCCTGAAGAACCTGCATCAGCGATTCATCATCAACCTCATCCAGTGTTGTGTCAACCTCATTGACAGCATCAATTCGAGACATCTCCAACTCTCGCATAGATTCATTTTGCTCTTGTGGGGGAGTCACCTGGGTATGAGTTGATGAAGTGGATGGTCCAGTTTCTTCTGGCAGTTCAAATCTTTGAACAATAATTCCATCGCCATGTCCTATTTGCACTGTGTGATCATGCGGAAACGTGAGCCTACCACGCCTGACAATACATGGCACACTAGTGTTGGATGATGTCGCATGGGATGAGAAATCTGTAGCACTGGAATACCCGACGGACTATTCGAGCCTCATGAGTGAGCCGAATCCCTTCACTGCTGGCTGATCTTGTTGAGACGACCACGGGTACTCGACCATCGGCAACCCTCTGAGAAACAACGATGTGAGCGACTTGCGACTGCCACCGTTCCTTGGGAGGAACTGGGTCAACAAAGTGCAAGATTGTGGATACACCTCTCTCAATGTCATCCCTCCAAGGAAACATAATTTCACTTCTCCACCATGCACTGTCTCTGTCAAGTCGGACAACCTCACTGCGTTGACGATAATCCCCGTGAACAAACCACACATGAACGTAAACGATAGGACCTTCATCTGAGTTTTCAACAAAGGCCTCACGATCAAACACTTCTTGTAGGGAATTGAGCCAATCTGGAGGGTACTCTTCATGACGTGTTGGATTCCCACTGTTTGACGAGCTGGGATTGCCCGTGGCGAATGCATCGGCTCGAAACCCTTGCACATTTGGACGCCTGAAAATTGTCCCACTGATGGCAGACTGCAATTCCTCTCTGAGTCTACGATCTGACATGGACAACAGCTCGGAGATATCGATCTCAATACCACGTTTGACAAGCAACTTGAAAGCATTGCCGGTGCGTACGTTGACAACCTGGTCTTGCCCAATAGCAACATGACCAAGCCAAAGGGAACATTCGTTTTGTAGTCGCTCCGGGGGACAAATTTCAGAATATCCCATCATTGTCACTGCACCCCTAAGATCAAGTCTGTCTGAGAGAACAATAGCAACCGAGTGTGGGGACCCCTGATCAATACCAGTGTCATACAGCGTCACAACGATAGACTTGGAAAAAGGTTCCGGATTCTGCTCGATGATGATTTGTTCTTGCACAGAACTATCAACATCATCGGGTGTCGGAAAAACAACCGCAAATTGGGTCGGCAATGACAAGTCTGCCTTGTCGTACCAGGCAGCCAGAAGCTCCCTTTCCCATTGGTGAAAATTAACAGACAATACAACAATCCTGGTTGTTCGACACCTTGTCCATCTGCTTGGATTCATAAACCAAGTTTCAAGACGAGGACCATGTGGGGGATTATCAACAGTACCACCCAAAGTTTCAACCCATTTTTCCCAGACATCCTGTACCCAATTTGGCTGCGCTCGCAGTCCGTCAGGGGCATCATCAACAGCAACATTGACACCTTCAGTGACAGAGCTTGCCGCCTGGACATATGCAAGAAATTCATCTGTGAGGCTGCAGGTGGCAGTGCTGTCAGTGTTGTCTTGGGAAATCTGTTTTGCTTGAACAAGGCCATGTGTGTCACTCTGGATGACACTACCAGGAAAAAGCTGAAAAAGGCTGCTCCCGTCATGTGTCGGTCCCTGATCATAATCATCTGGGTAGATCTTGATTTGGATTCCCATGCCATGTCTCGTTTGGAAATACTGATCGTTCACATCAAGGATAGGAAACTCCCATTCAATTTTATTCAACAGAAATGATGCCAACAGTGGTACTGCACTTGTGACGTCATCAAAGTTGCATTCCTTCGGCAATACTGTTGCAAAACGTACCATCACACTTGGGCCGGAAATCTGAAGAAAATTGAGGGTAACCAAGACTGATGAACGATCAGAAATTCTCTTTGTCAATATGATGTGTGCGATGTGTTCCTCGATTCCAATCCTTTGCACAAATGGAGACACGAGGTCATATAACACATGTTCTTTGAAGGCAATGTGGAATCTCCAAGGTTCAATGATATCTTCAGCCCATTCTGATGGGTCGCCTCCAAGAATGGCTATCTTCGGTTCTCTACAGAGCAGCATATTCTCGTGATCTACCAGCCACGTGTAAACCGAAAACATGAATTCCTGATGTTCATCTCCTTGACAAGTGTCAATGTGGCCTTCCACGACTCTCTGAAGATCGAGGAGCCAATCTTCTGTTATGGGCGATAAACTATCGGCACTGTCATCATGTGATTCATTTGATCCACCAGGCTCTACAGACAATCCAATCTGCATTGCTTGAAATACATCCGATGGGGCTTCACCATCATGACTGTCCTGACCAGGATGCTCATGATTCAACGAAGGCATATCTACAATGTTCTGCAAATCTTCGGCTTGATGAGAGACTGCGGGTGCGAGTGCCCTCACTTCTGTCTCATTCAACATGCTAGGAGAAACATTGGAAACTGCTTCATCTTCGTAGATCGCATCCAAGATCTGTTGATCCGAACTACCCTGCTGGCCAGGGTCATGGTTGAGCAAGCATATCTCTCGGATGGCGGAACTGCTATCCTGACGTAATCACCATTGGATACGACCCTTGGTGCTTCATCATAATCAGGCCATCTTTGCTCATTCAGGAAAACCAAGCACCGGTCGTTTTCTGCACGGCAAAAGCGATCAACCTTTGCAGCTTTGAGCATGTCACTCCTGACTGAGAATGGTGGAACCGGAATAACAGAACGCACAACGACAGGCCCCAATCGGAAGTTGAGCTCAATCCTATGAGCATGATATTGGACATCAAACAGGACAAGCACGTCTGCCCTTCCAATCGGTATGTCATCAACAATGTGTGCAATTGTTGGTACTGCATTATCGCCGACATCTGAAACAGGAGCAGCAATCTCATAAGCATCAACCAATGCATCCCTTTCAATCGCAAGGGTATATGCAATATCATGCATCATTTCTTCATAGCTGTCCCAATTGATGTAGGCCCTGATTGGGTGATCGTCCAAGTGGAAAAGCACTACCTCCTGCCTGCCTGCAGTAGAACTAGGAGGATGGGCGTTCGAAGAAGCATCATTGTCACTGAATTCGCGGTCATTCGATTCCGAGGATTCGGGGCTTTCATCACCTTGTGCAAAGCCCCCTGTTCCTGTCCGATCTTGTTGGAAAGCAGAGACCATATTTTCTTGCTGATAACCAAAGGGAGACATTTTGAAATCAGTCTTTTCTGGAACTGGTCCTTGCATCATTGAAATAAAATCCGAATCATGAACAGGTATATCACATTGCTTCTTGGAAGTGGACCCTTGAACATGAGGATTTTCTTTTTGTGCGCCTTTTGATACTAACGTCCTTGGGGAGCTCGACACGGCCAAAAATGACTGCGGAGCACCACCCACCGGACTTGTCAAATTGGTGATGTCGCTCAGGACATTGCCATTAGATCTTTTTGGTTTGGTTTCGGATTTTTTGTCGAAAGCAACAACTTCAATACACATACCATCGTACAACCTCTGACAGCCATTCTCATCATAAGGAAAGCATACAGAGACAATGTTGTGCAACCCAATGCCCTTTGCAATGGAAGAAGCTTGCTGGATCAAATCGGAGGTTGAAGCATCCCAGTCTATGCTGGTAGCAACTCTGACACAATTGGACTGCAACGCATCGCTCACAACAGTGGCCGTTCGAACAACTACCGATGCTGAGCAAGAATCTGGTTGCGATGTCAAAATCAAATCAGCACTATGCGAGTCATGATTTTCTTTTGGCAAAAGGTAATTCACAAGCCGAACTGCACATCCACCAACAGATTGAGAAAATTTTCGCCAATGACTTGCGATCTTTTGTATCCAGGACGAGGCATCTGATGAAAGAGTTATAACGCACGGCAACTTGCATTGAGTTTGCTTATGCTTTTCAATCATCCAAACCTGAACTGGCAGATCGAACTTTGTAGTTGCTGGACATGCTTTGTTTTGTCGGAGATCAGCAATCCTCAGCAGCCCTGAAATCCAATCAGTCGCATCCAATCTTCTGTTGGTAAGACGACATGGCGTAACAGAACATTCTGAATCTGCGGGATCTTGCTGAGAAGGAAGGCCAATTTCTTCACCGGAATTGTTCGCTTCACAGCCATCATGTGAGAAGTCCACAAATGGAAAAACCAAATTGGTAAGCCTTCTCCAGGAATAGATGAAACTTTTCTGATTCAGGATATAAGACCATGGTTTCTCATTCCAAAATTGCAAAGCATCATGCACCACAAAAGTACTATACATTTGCCATGAATCATCAATTCCAATTCGCAGCTCAATACAGTCATCAAACTGAACACGCTTTAATTTGCGACGAACAAGATGTGGCTCTTGAGAGCGGCAAATAGGCAACTGGATTGGATGACAGGCATCACAGGCATGAGAAAGCAAAGTTAGAGAAGCACCTGGCTGACAAATCATCTGCAATACTAATTCACTGCGAAGTTTCCATGCTTGCCAAACAGCTGACATTGGACTTAAATAGTTCCATTCCCCAGTCACTGAATGGCCGTTCGGAAACATATAAGGCCAGGCCTCATGGGACCCATTCTTGGAAACTGGTGCCCCACGGCCATTCGTCACTGCTTGGTCGAGCCCTTTTGAACAGGCTCGATTGATCTGGGCCTTTTGGACGCAGGTATCTTGTCTGTTTCCTCGTCGGAAACATCGTGCACTTTGGAGTCGGCTGAATCCACTGTGATGCCCAGGGAGCCTGCACATGCATTGAGAACTCCCTGAAGCTGATCCCTGAGTTTCTGTTCCTCGGGGTCCGCAACATTGTCCTGACTGGCATCTTCGGATTCTTCCTGAATAGGCAGAGGAATTGAAAGGCCACCTTCTCTGACAGTGTTTTCGCTGACCTCTTCAAAATCCTGCGAGAGGATTCGATTTCTGCTCTGGCGCGAGTGGCATTCTCGGACAGAGCTGCTTGGTGAACACGAAAGCTCTCTAGCTGCGTTTCCCAAATCTTGATTCCCTCTCCGACATGTTTGGTCCATTGCAATCGATGTTCTTTCTTGGCTGCGATTGCATCTCTGAGGGCTTTCTGTGCATGATCTAGGCTTTTGGTCGCTGCTTGCAGAGACTTGATATTGTTTCGACTGGATTCCTTGTCTGCCTTCTCTAAGAAGGCCTGGACGTCTGAGGGGGGCTCGGAGTCCTTGTATGCATGCCTCAGGTGGACAGCCATTTCCTGCATCGTCGAAGTTTTGCTCGCCTGTGCCGATTGGAAAGGCGACGCAGAAACTTCCGGTGCATTCCAGACTGGCCAAGGCGGCAATGGCGCTGATCCACCTTTTCCTGCACCAAAAGGACTGTTGAAATATTCCATTTTGGACTTTCCTTTTCCTTTGATCTTTCCCTTCCCTTTTCGTCCCCTGGGGGAGTAACTTCCCTGCCGATTTTGTCTCGCTCTTGGTGATTGGGACTGCTGACGGGCTGATCGATCTGCATCCGCCCATGTCTCCCATGTGCTCCAGTCTTCCCACTGATTGCTGCCACCATAAGTCTTCTGCTTTGGTGTGACATCGTGTTTGGTTCCGCATGTCCAGGGCTGCCAACAAATCACACATGTCATTGCAGTCTTCTTGTTGAGCCTTCCACATACACAAACCCATGGGTATATCTCTTCCGATGCCATTTTGTGAATTTCTGATCCGATCCGACTCAAAAAAATTGAGTCCCTTGAATGATGTTTGATAAAGATATTCCGTGCCCTGATCAAAGAAGCAGAGTTCAGACTGATCTTTCCTGTCTTGTGCAAGTACCACTGCCTCCTTGCAGTGGCACGCCTGCGCCTTTCTTTGCGGCGCAATGTATTGGAAATTGTCAATCGCAAAATCGTGTAAATGTGTGAAGGTAATGACCAATGCAAGCAAAACGTGAAGAAAGCTCATTCACAATGTGCAGGCCAAAAATTGAAAAGTCTGTACGCGAAAACCTCGAAGCAATCCAAACCCAGGAAAATCAACTGTGAATGAGAATGCCGGTCGTCGGCCCCCGCAGTGCCAGAGATTCCACACAAATATCAGTAAACCCAAAGACAAATTGTATGTAATTCCCCACAAAGTGTACAATGAGCCAGAAATCAAATTGACCAAATTGCAAGAGGCCCAGTAAAGAGCAGCTAATGCAAAATATTTGCCGGGGTTTTCAGGAGAACCCCAAACCTATCAATCCGGTTCCACAAGGTAGTCGTGCAACAAGCGCGAAAACCCGCAGGGCAAGACACCGGAACTAACCCTGCTAAGGTTAATGGCGCCCCTATCAAATTGCTGTGCAAAGGGGCGGTTTGAACCAAAAACCTTCCCATGAATACCAACCTATCCAACCAGCATTGTTTTTTTCTTCGAGTTGTGTCCCATTTAACGGTTAGATACTGGGAGATGACGGTTGAAATCCAAACCATCAATTGATGGCGATTTACATGGCGGATTCTTTATTGGGTTCACCACAGTATACAGAATTATTTGGATATTATATATATATAATATATAATATATATATATATATATAATATATATAATATATGTAATGTATATATATATATATGTATAATATATATATATACAGCATGAAATATGGTCCCATCTAACTGTACTTCTATCTACCACGAACCATAGAATTCACTGATGAATTCAGACAGATGCGGAAATGCGGACAGATGAATGCTACGGCAACCGTTCACTGTTTGCTCAAGGTTCGGGGGAAAATCAACCGTTCCAGTGTCGGTTTCGTTCCGATATCGTCGGTTCTGCTGGGCTTCAATTTTCTGGTTAAACATCAAGATTCTGAGGATATAGCCGCAAAGAAGATTGAAAGATGGCCCCATCTCCATAGCTGCAACAGCTCCAGTTTTGCGAATCGCTGTGTTCACCACTGGGATGAATGATTCAAAACCATGATTTCATGGGCATAGGACAGCGTCATGAATCCAACATCACCCACATATTCCAACGCAACATCTAAACGTTCCAGCGTTGAGATACTCCAAACCAACTTCAAGTCAGACAAGAATCTCCGCGTGTTTTTTTAGCTAAATTCTGGCAGTTCCATCATGGATTCTGTCACCGAGTGCGACGTTAAGCAGGCAGGACTTACCAGGTCCTAAAACCTTGGGTACGGCGCAACGTGTTTACAACTGCCACTGTTCACCAAGATGCATCATTTGTATTCATTTGTGCCATGGTCAAGAGTTGGGTTGTAGCAATTCTAGGCATTTCTGGTTGGTGGTTTGGAACATTTTTTATTTTTCCATATAATGGGAATAAGAATCCCAACTGACGAACTCATATTTCCAGAGGGGTAGGTATACCACCAACCAGATTGTGATTTGTCCTGAGTCCTGATTGCATAAATTGCCCCATGTTGATTGGCTCAATCGACTCATTGAAAAAGGCTAAATCTGGTGAACCTCCATGTGACATGGCATCAGTTCCAGATTCCTGCGGCTATCCTGTGGCTATGGCTGAGTGACAACCCGGGTTTTTAGCGTCTACCCTCCGGAAATCAAACGTGGCAATGGACAATTCTCTATGCATGCATGATTTTCCAATTAAAAAATCTCCATTTATAGATTTATAGATTTATATTTCCATTGCCACATTTCATTACACGTTTGATTAATGGAGGTTAAACCATGTTAGAATATGTATACAATGTGGGGCCCCCAAGATAGCTAAGTTGGTTTATAACTACAATAACTAGGGTTTATAGTAGTTATAACCATAGTTAGATGGGGTTATAAATCAACTTATAACTAGGGGGCCCCACATTGTATAGATGGCCAATGAATTCACTATTCTAAAATTATCCCCAAACATCTTCGCTGGCCGCGACCTGGGCGCCAGGTGTATCAGAAGAAGCTGCTCTCGCAGCTGAACGTCGCCAGGCGCCGTGCCGAAAAAGCCGCGCCAGGAAGGGTTACCCCAAGCTCGCTGGATGGTTTATTTCATTCAACATCCATCTATAAATGGATGATTTGGGTACACATATACTTACATCCGAATCGAAACTGGATGATTTGGGTCATATATTTACATGTTATATGTTCATATAAGATAGATACTCAGATGTGTTTTATATCAATTTTCCATATTTTGTTTATCTTAGTAACTAAGATAAACTAAATATGGAAATTTGATATAGAAACATATGTTATAGTCTAATAGTACTGACATAGAAACTAAGCAATGTTTTTCATATCTTTGGTGCAACTAACATAGAAATTTATATAGAAACTATTGATAGCTAATATGGAAACTACTTAAGAAACTAATGGCAACATCAAAATAAATTTTGAAAACCAAAGGGGTGGTTGTTCATATTTTTGGTAAAAGTAACATAGGAACTCATTTAGAAACCAAAAAATTGGCATCTCGGAAATGTTTTTGCTATATACCTTGAACAATTTATTTGAGTACAGTATGAGATATTAGATGTTCCCAACTATTAGTTATATCCACATTATATACCTCAACCTTATCAATGATAGTTATATCCATATATGTCCTTTGGTATGAGAGTTATTTCTACATTATATACCATGATTGTCATAATAGTATAGTAATAGATTTATTTGGTATATTGCTGAAACTAACTATCAGTATATTATACCAGATTTTTTCTTTGAAACTACTGATTTAAAATCCTCGGTTTTGGGGTTGAACATAAAGGTGACCTACGCATGATATTAGTAGATACCCACCTTTTGGAGTAGTTGACGATGTGTGGATTTAAGCATCATTTATATAGAACAATCAACTATCAACATATCGGGGTTTCTTCAAATGGGATTTCCCCGAGTCACCATAGGTTTCAATACTAACATGGTCTAATGAATTGGATAATTGTGGGGTACTACTATTTTAGGAAGCCACCATATGGAAATACAGTTGATAAATATGAACATGATTGTTGCTTGATGGTTGGTTGATGATTACAGGGTTATACTATACAACTGATTGTGGAGTATCATAATCCATGAATTGCAAAGCCATATATTTACCAACCATTACTGAGTACTCGGAATGACGCTGCACATGCGGATTGAACCACCATTCATAGGGTTTATAACCATGAAACATTGAGACAGAATTGATAGGATGCTGATGGGATATGAATGGGAAATCATCATTTATACCCTCTGGTTATGACTAACATAGCCATGGTATAGATGGCCCATCGAAATAAATGCTTTACCGGACTTAAAAAATGGTGATTAACCATCATTAACCATCATTAACCATCATTAAATGACCATTAATCACCATCATTAATCATCATTAACCACCAACCAGCTATCATTTTTTGAGGCAAAATGGAAGAGGATCATTTCCATGGCTATTGCTGTGAATGTCATTTCACCAGATGCCATGGGGTTTTCTGAGGCATCAAGATATGGGGGCAATGGGCACATAAGGGGTACCCGGCCTGGTAAACTGTTGCGAAAAACTATGGAAAGATCCACCATTTATATGATTTTAATGGGAAAATCCACGATAAATCGATGGCCATGGCTTCAATAGCTTTTTGTAACAGTCATTGCCAGAGGGTAATCATCATGTTCTAGCTGGGTAAA